CATACTTCAGATATATTGTCAGGAAGGGACCAGTCACTGGAGAAGGATATAATGTTTGGTAAGGTTGAGGGTCAGAGAAAAAGAGGAAGACTCTCAGCAAGATGGATTGGCAAAGTTGCAGCAGCAATGGGCTCGTGGCAACAATTGTGAGGTTGGTCCAGGACTGGGCAGTATTTCGTTCTGTTGTGCATAGAGTTGCTATGAATCGGTACTGACTAGATGGCACCTAACAACAATAACAAGAACAGGAAGAAAGGCCTGAAGATCTGCTTCCAAATATCACCGAGTGATAATCCTGTGTGTGGCAATGCTCTGATTTCCTACTGATTGTGTGGATGGCAAGTTGCAAAAGACAGAGATGAGCTCAGGGCTTGGGAGTCACAATTCACAATTGATTCCCTTGTTCCTGGGGTCATCATGAGTGGGAGTTTGTTGGATGGCAGGTAACAACAACTAGCTTCTTTGACTTCATGGACCCATTTCAAAAAATACGTATATATTTTTTATATCTTATTTTCTAATTTAAAATTAACATAGTACATTTAAGAATTATTATTTTAACAGCAGTTAAAATATTACCAAGGGCCCCTAAAGTGACATGTCCTCAAGCCCTGTTGTATGCTGTGCCTGAAGTTGCCAGCTTGTCTCAATTTATTCACATCACAGTGATTTTTTGCTTTGCTTTTTCTGCTGTTGAATATAAAATGCATGTATAAAATTCAAAATTAAAATCAATGAAAATTCTCTCCTCAAAAAAAAAAGTTTACAAAAAAAAAAAAAAAGTGGGGGAAGGATATGTTACATTATGAGGACTGCAATCAATGACATGAAACAAAACATGTATGAATTGTAAAGTGGAAAACTGATTTAGTCCAAAAACCTTTAGCCAATTCACAATAAAAAGTTGTTGAATCATATTTTGACAAAAGAGAACAAATATTGCTGCCTTTTATCCAGGTAAATTCTTAACAAAAAGAGAAATAGATATACCATAAATGTTCTAGTTCTTAGGCTATCTTCCTTACCCACAGGCAATTAAAATAGCTCAAAATTGGAAATACAATTGGTACTTAATAAAGTCCTGTTGACAGACATAAAGACATGTACTTCCTAACCTAACCTAAACCAAACCCATAGTCATCAAGCTAATTCCTACACATAGGATGTCCGAGAACTTTCTCCCAAGGAGTGGTTCACAGATTTGAACCATCAATCTGGCAATTTGAAGTCAAATGCCTGGCCCACAGCCTCAAGGTGGTTGTTGTTTTTTCTTGTAAATATGGTAAGCAGGATATAAGGATTGTTACAATATCAGGTCTGCCATGTTAGGCTGTACCTTCCAGGTTCTTCCCTCTCCCCTCCCTTCAAGTCCATTTTGTAATCTTAGGTTTGTTTCCCCGCCCTAAGCTACAAAGCGTGTAGTTTAAAGGGCAACATGACTTTTGATAGGCCAGAGCTAAATCACCCCAGCAATGACCACTCCCTTCCTGTTGAACCCATATAAGATCACTCAACTTCCCATTGACTCTCTTCTCTTTTGCCTCCTGCCTTCTCTCTCTAGCAGAGGTCACCTTCCTCTTTCTCCCCCTGAATAAAAGTCTCTAAACGGGCCATCTGGTGTGCGGTGTGGTTGATGAGCGGCGCCGGGTTGTTTTTTTCCCTTTCAAGGATACAATAAACAACATTCTTATCAACGGAGAAAAGATTGAAGTTTTCAAGGGCTTCATTCTTCATGATCAACCATCAACACTCATGAAAGCAGCAGTCAAGAAATCAAATGACATATTGCTTTAGGAAAATCTGCTGCACAAGACTTTTTTAAAATATTGAAGAGCAAAGATGTCAGCTTGAAGACTAACGTGCACCTGACCCAAGCCATCGTATTTTCAGTAACCTCATATGCATGCGAAAGCTGGACAGTGAATAAGGAAGACCATAGAAGGATTGATGCTATCGAATTACAGTGTTGGAGAATATTGAAAGTGCCATAGGCTGCCAAAAGAACAAACAGATCTGTGTTGGAAGACGTGCATCCAGAGTGCTCCTTGGAGGCTAGGATGATCAAACTTCATCTCTCATACTT